GGGGAGGCGGTTTTTGCTTGGAGGGGGAGTCCCCCCCCCCACAGGAAGCCGCGACCACGTGTCACGGCAGGGAAAATGGCCGCGGATCCTGTTCATCACCCAATCCGGCGTTCGCGAATGGAGGCAAAATTTTGCAAACGGAGCTGTTCATGACCCGAATTGGTCGTGAACAGAAGCATTCGTGAACCGAGGTACCACTGTAGTTTTAAAGAAATACTTCTGTTTCATTTTTTATCCTCCAACAGGGTAACAGATCCCAAATTTTAGCTGAGGTGCAACAGTAGTCTACTCTTTCTAATTACCTCAACCACATAGATGAGCAGGAATAAACTGTAGTGAGTTTCAAGCTTATAAACTCCAACTCTTCTTTTTTTCCCTTTGCATATAGTTCTCAGAATATTTTGAAGGGCTGTCCTATGTAAAAAGTCTTAGTTGTGAATTAGGATTCTGCTTATTCTGGAAGATCAGTTTGATAACTGTGAATGCTTCTTGATTATATGTAATCTGCCTGTTCAGGTAGTGGCTATGGCAAGGGGTACATTTGCACTATTACATTTAGTACCTTTCCCAAGTTGGTATAATATAATTCATATCACAATTATGTAGAACACTACCATAGTTACCGATGGTTTCTGTTGCAGCTTTACATTATAACGTGTACATTAGAGTAGCACATTGTAATAGGTTGGCTGCTAAATGGTACATAGAGATAACTAGGCTACAAAATTCAGGGGCTAACTAGATGGTAACAGAGTTTTTCGTATCTCTTTGCTGCCATCTAGTGATTGCCAAGATTTTGGTCACTTAAATATGATATGATTATTCTGTTGTAATTTTTAATGCTTGGGTCAGTGGGACTCCCCACTTTATTGAAGAAAAAAGTTGCCATCAAAATTAACTCTAAATCTTATAGAATCTCAGTAGCCTATATGGTACTGTGGCAAAGCAAGGGATTGACTCCACTGTTAGAGACCCACCTCTCTAGTTGGATGAGGAAATAATACTTGAAGGAATAATTAAAAATTGCTTACTTTCCAAGTACCAAATTGAAATATGATAGCTGCACTTAAATTTTGTATGCTTAACTACTATTCTTATGGTTTTCTTTTCCACATAATAAGCACTCAGTGGTCTGTCTCTCAGATCACATTTCCTTTAAATTCATCCAACCAAATCCTACATAGTTCAGTGGCTTTCAGCTGCTCTCCTCTTTTTCTGTTGCTTCTGATTTCCAAGCTGAGTTACTTTCCAGACCTGTACTTCATTCTCCATCTTCCTAAAACTCTTGGGCCCTGGGTTCTACTGCCTGCTTGAGGTTTTCATGAAAGTCTTCAGCACTGAGCTCCAGATTTTTTAACACCCCCCACCCCAGTCTAAGGATGTTCTTAGAGTGGAAGCCTTGCTCTTTTTCCTCTTTTGGCTTCCTTTAGTCATAAACAACTCCTCTGTCATGTACCATTTGACCTTACTAATATTTTCTTGTTTAAAGACTTGACCAGAATCTTTGACTAATCATATTCCTTATTGGCCTTGTAATTACTAATGTTAATCCCTTGACTAATCCACATGGTTCCTTCAAGCTACAGCTTGAAATTGCCCTTCCCTAGCAACTCTACTCAAGGCAGTTATGGTCTTTTATCCAATATAGGATAACATAACTAGCTGTCTGGTATATTCAGGCGACAACATAACTCATTCCCAGATCTCTCTCAGAATAGAATGATTACAGTATATAAACCAGAATAAATACCATGTTTCTTCATAATCTCACACCAAGGTTAGTGAGACTACACTGCTAATATATCTAAATGGAATGTGGTGTGATTCACATAGCATATTGAATCTTTGTGTGAACCATGGATTCTAAACCTTGGTTTATGATACTTA